CGTGTGCTCTTCCGATCTCCCCAAAACCCCAAAACCCCAAAACCCCTTGTAGGATATTTCATTCAGAGTGAAATTTGAAAATTATTCTTAAATAACAAAATCATTTAGCCTTAAGCCCAGTTTGGTTTATAATGTCGACCATCATCTAATCTAATATCTTCAGTTTTCACCTGCCCATCCCTTGTTGTAGTTCTTATTGTCTAGGTTCCAGGCGTTTCTAATCATGAGTTCAAAGTATTCATCATTGTCAATTGAGCAGCTGATATTGTTATAATACTCAATGAACTCTGGCATACTGATTGATCTGTCCTTTGCTTCTGGGTTCTAAAATAAAATTTATCTTTAAAATATATTTGATTTACACTTAAGGCATAATGTTGTTCAAAAGTGTCCAAGAACTCGTAGAGCACATCTTCTTCAGTCTTCTTGCCTAGTTTTACATCTGGGTGATTCTTGGCATTGTATCTTCCCTTCAAGTCTTCAATGTTGATAGTACCGTTTCCATCTGCATCGAATTTCTTGAATGCTAGAGTGACAACGTTTCTTCTTCTCTCGTTCATTTTGCCCACAATGGTTCTCAAGAATTCATCGTAGTTAATCTCACCGTTGCCATCTCTATCGAAGACCTTGAACACAGTGTTAATCTCCTCTGGGTCCTAGGTGATTCTATAGTCTTTCATAGCCTTTGAAAACTCTTGTCTATCTAGGGTTTTTGAGTCGTTGTCGTCCATAATCTTGAAAACTCTCTTAATACCATTGATACCTCTGGCCCCTCTTGAGATAATTTTTTCTCTGACAGTGTTGAGAAGTTGTTTCTCAGTTGGGAGAGTAGTGTAATTAACTTGATTTGAGGGTGGATATCTTTGGTTAGCAGGAATATCTTAGCTTGATTGAAGGTTTGAGGCCTTACCAACTTGATTCCAGTTTCCAGTACCTGCAACTGGCATCTATGAGTTGACAGCTTATTTTCCGTTTTACTTCTTGGTATAGACTTGTTATACTTCATGTGCCATTGGAGTGTTGTCCATTTCACCAAAAAGTGATCTGTGCATGTCGTATTTCCACTGCTCCTTGCTATTTTTTCCATAGACTTGAGGAGTGCTTCCTGCTGTTTTTATCTATCCGCTGTTGACTTCCACTAAATCGAGGTTCCACACTCCAGTCATGAAGATCTTAAATAGATTGTCATTGTCAATGACTGATGAGACGAATTGATGGTATTCAAGGAATTCGTCAATTGATACGCTCTTGTCTGGCTTAAAACCTTGGGCTACATTGTGATGGGTAGAGAATAGATCATAAAACTCATATCTGCACTCTTCGGCAGTCTTTGACCCGTTCTTAACATCTGGATGTCTTGAAGGATCGAATTTGAACTTGACCTCATCAATTTCTAAGGTACCATTTCCATTATCGTCGAGTTTCTTGAATGCCTATTTTACTAGGTTGACTCTGTACTCAGAAAGGGGTCCCAAGATAGCAGTCATGAATTCTTCGAAGTTGATGGTGCCATCTCTGTTTCTATCAAAAATACCGAAAATTTGTTCAGCTTCTTCTGGAGAGGCTTGGACCTTGTAGTCTGCAAGAGCTCTCTTGAATTCTTCAATATCGAGAGCACCGCTTCCATCTGAGTCCATAATCTTGAATTGTCTCTTTAAGCCAATAAGACCCTTGACACCTCTTTTGAAGAGCTTTGCCTTGAATCTGTCTAAGTGAATTTCATTTTGCTTTTATTGGGCTAATGTAGCTAATGGCTTTGGATATTCTTGCTTTGATTGGGTATTTGAAACATGAGTGTTATATTTGGTGCCAATGTTAGAGACGAATGGGTTCTGACCGCTCTCTTATCCTGTGATTTGATTGTATTCTCTTTGTGGATCACTAATATGCTTGTTGTTAGCTAGTGATTGTCTCATTGGGCTACCTTATTTTTCGTAGTATTTTGCTTAAGTATCTCCGAATGGGAAGTCTGAACTGACCATGCCACTTCTGAGAGTAGCTTGGCCAGTTGGGTCATTATTCTTTCTCTGATATGCACCTCCTTGAGTGCCAGTTGATGGTCTTTTTTATGCATCCTCATTGGCCCAACCCTTGTTGTAGCTTTGATATTGAGCAGCATCACCACTTAGATTCCATGCTGAATTCATCATTGCTTAGAAGTACATGTCATCATCAATACTAGCTGAAACATTGGTGTAATATTCAATGAACTCCTCTAGAGTAACTCTGAAATCTCTCTCATTGTCATTCATCACATTGTGATGAGTTTCGAAGGTCTCAAGGAACTCTCCCAAGACTTGCTCCTCAGTCTTTCTTCCTTCTATAACAGCTGGGTGTTTCTTAGCATTATAAACACCAACCAAATCAGAGACCTCAACAACACCGCTTCCGTCTCTATCTAGTTTTTTGAAGGCTCTTTCAACTAGGTTTTTTCTGTATTCACTGAGTTCACCTCTAATAACTCTAAGGAATTCGTCGTATTGGATTGTGCCATCTCTGTTAACATCGAAAGCCTGGAAGAGGATACCAGCATCTTCAGCTGGAATCTCAGCTTTAAAGTCTCTAATGGCTTTCTCGAATTCCTATCTTGAAAGTGTCTTTGATCCATCATCGTCCATAATCTTGAATGTTCTCTGAAGACCAATGATACCACGAGCACCTCTCTAGATGACTTTCTTTCTGAATATATCAACTAGCTATTTAGCCCTAAAGATATACATTAAGATTTATATTTATACTGTTGAGTGTTATGGACGGCAGGGCGCTTTACTAATTGTCCCTTAACAGTGCTGCCATCGTTTCCGAATATGATACCAGTGAATTCTTTGTAGTCGAGTGAGCCGCTTCCGTCGGTGTCATATGCCTTGAAGAGGGGTTCGAGTTCCTGGATGCTGTAGTAGAGACCGATCTTCTCCATGGCCTTGACAAAGTCTTGTAGGGATACAGCGCCCTTGTCATAGATGTCGAAGTACTTGAACATCTTGATGAGGCAAGCTTCCTCAGTTAGCTTGTGATTTGATTTCTATAGTAGTTTTTCTTTGAGTTCTTTCTCGAATCTGAAACGTGAATATGATTAGGATGTTGAGTTGTTGTTACCTTGCTTTGAAGCCAGATGACATATTTGTGGATAGTTTTGATTAAAAGATTTAAGTGAATAAAATTACTAATACGTTATTTTATTTTCTTTAATAATGCCCTTTAAATTTAATTCATAATTAAGAGAGGGGCTGAGCGAGGTACTATTTAATTCTTAAATCCTTAATATAAGCTCAGTAAAGTATATAAAGTTTCGTATTGAAAAATTATTAATTTAATTTGTATTCTCTAGTTAAGCGCATACCCCTTCTTGCACCCTTTAGACTCATAACCACCTCAATTCAATAACTTTTCGATCCTTTAACAATTATCAAAATGACCTAATCCGAATCCTTGATATCCTCTGATGGATTTATATCAGAGCAGTTGCAAGATTTACTGAAAGCATGCTTGACATTTGTAAAGTAGACTTTTGCTGTTTAAGACGAGAACAATATTTCAGACAAATTCATTGAGCTCCTACTCATGATCTTCTCGAATGTCTTCAACTTCCCAATTATCTTCACGCTAATATTCATCTACGGCAGAGTCAGCAGCTTCTATCAGGCCAAGCGCACCAAGTACTATTTCCAGCCTTCGAACTCTCTGTTCTCAGAAATGCTTCAAAAGAGTAAACTCACTTAAATGGTAAGTCTAGAAATCTAATTAAAATGGCTTTTCTAAACGATTATTATAAACGCTCATTACTCATATTTCACCTATACAAACAGGTCTAATCCCTTCTTTAGAGATATAAACCTTGGACATATGCATTCAATGGACACTGGTAGGCTGTATTGTACCCTGCAGTAGAAACTGTGCACAAGCTGCTGAGCAATTTCAAGCTGACTGGCGAAGTGTTAGCCTTAAGTGATGGTGGTCAGATCCTTCTGGATTGGTACGTCAACCCAAATGTGACCACAGAAAACCCAGACGAAGAGAGCTAGGACGAGACTCAACAAGATGTGGGTGCTCATTACACTCGAAAGAACCCACTAGTGGTGATTGTACCTGGTCTAACTGGGGACAGTACTAATTTATACGTCTAAAGTACTCTGAGAGAAGCAGAGAAACATGGGTATGATGCAGTAGTCGTCAATTATAGATGCTAGGCAGGCGTTAAACCAACAGTAAATCATATTGTAACTTATTCTTAATAGAGCCCACACATTTATCATGGAGCAAACACGACTGATCTCTAGGAAGCCATAGAATGGATAATGGATGTTAGGACTGAATCTGAACTCTATGGAGTAGGGATCTCCCTTGGAGCAGGGATCCTAGCCAATGTAACTAATATTATTATAAATTATCTCTTCATTCTAGTATGTTGCCAAAATGAAAGATGACTGTCCTTTGAAAGCAGCAGTAAGCGTTGGATGCTATTACGACACTGAGCGATCCATGAATCACTTGAAGACTTACTGGTTTGGAGTGTATGACTACATCCTTGGTTTATTCACCAAGATGACTAATCAAGAAACAGTTCAAATTATTGATGGGCTGAATGCTAAACATAATCCAGACAGAATCATTGGTGCAGACTACAGCAAAGTCTATAGACTCACAGGATTTATTGAGAATATTGTAATGAAAATTCAAGGAATCAAAAACTACAAAGATTATCTTTTGGAATCTAGCTGCACTCATAGACTCAAGGACGTGAAGATTCCTTTATTTTTCCTGAGTGCCAACGACGATCCAATTTTCGGTAACAAATGCATTCCTTATGACCAGTGCCATGAGAACATTCTAATTGGAGTGACTAAAGCAGGAGGACATCTGGGCTACTTCGAGGGCTTAGTCCTGCCTCACAAGCAGTGGTTCCCTGAACCAAGCTTTGAATTCCTTAACTTTGTGCGTGATCAAGGCAGATTAGATCCTCAGGGATCCCTTTCTTATAGCTACTCACTAACTCAAACTGAAATCAAAAGAAAATCAAGTCAAAATGGCTTAGTACAGTTTGGAAAGATTGTTTCAAATGGAAGTTTGGATAAGGATTTGAGGAAGAGATGCATCTCAACTCCAAATCTGTTAATAGATTGAGACTATTCACATATTGCTTATGTGTGGCACTCTAGCATTAGATAAAAATATCAAAAACGATAAGATCACTAAATTAGAGAATTAAGTCAAACATAGTCGGCTGATTAACGATTTAGTTATTAAATTAAGTAAATATCTATATTTAAGTTAAAATTTATCATAACTATGTTTACACCTGCTATACTATTTAGGCTTTTCAATTCTTATTCTAGTTAGAAGTCTTGAATACATTCTTTCGCTTTTTCTGATTGCATTACTGCTAGGCGTCCTAGTCTGGCTCAACCATAAACATTATAGAGTCTTAAGAGGACTTGACAACAGACCAAAGAGTCTGATCCTTGGGTTTAATCCTGCTTTGATTTCCAGAGTTTATTGTATCTTTCATAATTTCTTGTGTGGGGCTCCTGAGCAGATTGATCTTGTTGGACATTCCATTAGACATTGGAGATCTGTTGCTATCTAAAATGATATTCAAACCACTCTAGCGAAATTCAATTGAACTTCTAGTTTATATATTAGCCTAATTGCCATTGCTTTTGCTAAGCTTAGTGTTGATTAAGGATTATGAGGAGTGAGTAGGATGCTTTTTGCTTGAAGATTAGTGGCCATAATAGGTGTTCTGGCTATTAATTATGCTAAGCTTATTAGGCGTGACTACTTTCTTGAGTGACTTGCTGCCCTAGACTATCTTCAGCTAGCTGTACTTTGGGTCGATTTCATCCGTGATACTAGTATCTAACTAGTTCTACTACTAATTATTCACATTAACTGGATTAATACTATTCCCATCTTTATTGTTATTGCTATAAAAGGAGTTGTTGATAGTGTGATCATTGAGATACATATCTGTATTAAGATAGTACTTGGCTGACTTCTCTACATCCTCATAGATTTTATACTGGATCTGACCTGATCTGTTCGAGCTTTACACTTGACCATTGGGATTGATTAAGGAGTATTTAGACTTTAGTTTACCTATAAAGGTACTTTAGTCTGGAGCTGGATTATAGACCCCACCAGTTTTGATAGAGGAATATGGCTGATAGTTACTCTGATTTTTAACATAAGGTTAGTACATTTTACTGTTGATAACTTTGCTCTAGAGATACTTGCGAAAGGTGCTGCTTCTCTTACTATCAAACGAAGATGGTGTATAAGCTCTCTTGTTGCTATTATGACTGGTGTCATTGATAAATTAATCCATAACTGATGCTAGTTTCTCAGTGCCCTCCTTCAGTTTGAATCTGAGCCTCTCATCTTTATAAATATACTGATTCTGAATAGAGGTTAGGGAATCTGGTGGTTTGAAATTCATCTGTTGCTGAGTCTGCTAGCCTGCAGTATGTGAAGTTTGCATCTGCTTTTGCTGCTATGAGCTTTTATTCTGATCCACTTTGAAGAAATCTTAATTGATCAGACTGCTGCTGTAGTGTTCGTTTAAATGAGTTGAGTTGACATTCTAGAGTACTCTGCTCCCCTCATTCCTTCTCGTCTTAGTTCTCTATGAACTCAAGTTTTTCCTCTGAACGAAGAAATTCGTATTGTCTGAAATGTATTCCTGACGCTTCGGGGCAGTGTCAATATAGTCTTTTTTAAGTCGGAGCTTCTTTTTCTCAATGACTCGACGTCTGCGCATCTTGAGATTGTTCTTGAAGTTTTAAAGGAAGATCTGAAGCTGCTTAATGTCTTTGATGTCGAATTTTATAAAGTTAGAGAGATTTTCAATACTCTGCTAGATTTACTGCATGTTAGTCATTGATTCAATAATGGTGTTGTCATCTTGATATGAATTCTCTAGTTTGACATTGAAGTTTTGCACTCCTGGCAATTTGGAGACACTTGTGTTAAGGTAGTTCGCATGAGTCAGAAAAGTGGTTGTATGCATATCGATCTCCTTTATCAGTCTTTCCAAATCCTGATTATCTTCCTCGTCTATTTCTTCCTCAGCAGTTTCTCCCTCCTTCAATATTATTCTTAACGCCTTATTCTTTAAAGTTTACAGTTTAGAATATCTATTGCCCCCGCCTCTAGAATGCTGTCTCTCACTTGTTTAAGCATTATTCTAGGCTTGGGTACCTTGGATAGGCAGCCCAGTCTCTAATACAGGCTGAGACATTCTAAGAGGGTCATAGACAGACTATGTATTTTACTAAATCTGAATATTGACACTATTTTTGTTGATGTTATAGCTGGCCTTGTTGTCATTTGAAAGATCTCTCTAGAGCTCTAAATTTCTCTTGATCCTAGGTTGCTAAGAGTTCTGCTTGGCGTAATTACTAGAATACTGATCATTGCCAATAGAAACAAGCTAACCGTCTTGGGATCTAATTGTTGAAACAGTAGCTGTATTTGTTTACTGCTAGTAGAAAGGTAGTAAATTAGAGTTCAATTGAACTTCGTCTGTTCTTCTGCCCTCTCCTAGAAAGTCCTTATCTATTGCTTAATTTCTAGTTGAGAGCTTTCTTCAGTGAGCTGACTTAAGGCCAAAGCCGTTTTTAATATTCTACTGCATCATTCCGCCTAAGACCTGACTATCTCTTAGGCTCTTGTCGTTCCTAGTGCTTACAGGGTTCTACTGTGTTTACTTTGAATTTAAGATTTAATATAGTTTCATTTTTATCTATAATAATTAAGCTACTTTACATCAATTTATTACTACGGGGTTTTGGGGTTTTGGGGTTTTGGGGTTTTGGGGTTTTGGGG